CGCCCCACATCCTGGCCAATTTCCTTTATAAGACTATAAAGCTTTTCCTCAAATTCTTTCCAATTTTCAATGAGATAAAAAAAATAGTGGTGTTAATTTTTCCTTAGGAGGTGAGATGGAGGCGAGCTCTTGGAGGGGGGGTAGGGGGAGGTGAGATGGAGGAGAGCTCTTGGAGGGGGGAGGGGGAGGTGAGATAGAGAGGAGGCTCTTGGAGGAGGGAGGATGGAGGAGGCTTGGAGGGAGGTGAGAGGGGGGAGGGGAGGTGAGATGGAGGAGCTCTTGGAGGGAGGTGAGATGGAGGAGAGCTCTTGGAGGGAGGTGAGATGGAGAGCTCTTGGAGGGGGGAGGTCTTGGAGGGGGAGGTGAGATGGAGAGAGCTCTTGGAGGGGGAGGTGAGATGGAGGAGCTCTTGGAGGAGAAGGAAAATAAAGAATTAAAAATTATACGGAAAAAAACAATAAATGAAGAAAAACGGAGACCAAAAAATAATTACAGAAAAGCAATTAGCTCAAACAAAGAGGGGAAATAGGCTTGGGGGGATAGAAGGGAAGGAAGGGCTAGATAGTGGGTCGGAGGGATAGAAGGTAAGGGAGGAAGGGATAGCTAAAATAATTAAAATTAACCCAATCCTTACCGTATTTTTTTTGGTCTAACCCAACCGTGTTAGTGTTTGTTTTTTTAGCTCAGTTGAAAAGCTGTTTGTTGGTGTAAAGGAGCGGATTAATAGAGGGACTACACACACACACACACACACACACACACACACACACACACACACACATTTAGAAACACTACCGATGGATGCACAGTTGTTCACACATTCTTAATCACACATACATGGACAGGCGCACATTCATGATAAATGTATATACCCTCAAAACGCACACACGCATTAACAAACATACATACATACACAAAAATACAGACGCACATGGAAAAATTGTTGGATAAAATTTCAATTATACAAAATAAACAAAAAAAAATGTAAACACTGATGAAAGAAAGTCAAATACTGGAACATAAATGTACACACACACACACACACACACACACACACACACACACACATAGACCCTGAATACAGATAAATACCATTTTCCTTAAAACAAACGCTCACGACAAACAGACAACACGTTTACCCTCAGATACAAACAAGGAAAATAATCTTAGAACTTAAAAAAAATGATGTAATTATTTGTTCCCGTAAACTAAAGTATTAACACTATTATTAGACTCTGAGTGTAGTTACTGTATGCTGCCATATTTGTCCAGGTCACACGCCTTCTCGAGTCACAAGGTGTATGTAAACACACAACTCAACGTTTTTCGGTTTTAAAATCAACAACTTTCGTTTGAGGATATTTAATATTAAGGTAGTAAAAGGGTGACGAGGGTTTTTTTTTACGGGGAATTGCCCACCCGGGCACAGGTCACTGACCCACATCGGGGCCTGGGGGGGGGGGCGAAAATTTACTACTACTAGTACTACTACAGCCTCCCCCAATAGCCACACCTTCGCCACCATTTATTTACCTTAATATTAAATATCCTAATACATATGTAGCTCTCCTATCTGTGTTAAATTAGTTGAGCCGCAGATCTATGCGGCATTCAGTGACAGTAGCCTCATAGTCAATATCTGCAGCAGTTGTCGGAGTTGGGGCAGAAGCTCTCGTTCCCCTGAGGCAGAGCAAAGCCTACTACTACTACTACTACTACTACTACTACTACTACTACTAATAATAATAATAATAATAATAATAATAATAATAATAATAATAATAATAATAATAATAATAATAATAATAATTGAGATAAGTAAAATTTATAATAAAAAAATATATAAATAATAAAATAATAATGATAATATTAATAACAACGCTGCAAAAAAAATAATAAAGAACCACAAAGATATACAAAAATGAAAAAAAAAGATCAAAAGTGAGAAACAATATATGTATGTTGAGGTTGTCAAAAGTAAGGGAAACAATTCTGACCTTGCAATTGTGTGCAAATGAGGCAGAAATTCAGATCAGCAACCTGGGACTTGGTCATAATTTTCGTGATGCCATATGGCAGCAGGGTCTACCATTAGACAATACATTATGCTTCCAATATCTTCCCAGGCGGTAGTACCTCCCTGTTTGATATTGCAGTAGTAGTAGCGGTGATAACTACAGCACAAGTAAAATTCTTTAAGTAACAGTAATAATAACATAACAGTGATAATCCTGGCAGCAATAGTGGCAGCAGTAGTAGCAGTTCAGGTAGTAGAAGCAGTAACAATAGTAGTTATATTAGCAGCTTTAGCAGAAATATCATCAGCAGCAACAACATTAGTAGTAGTAGTAGTAGTAACATTGCAACAAGAGTCACTAATACACAGTCACTAGTACACAAGTCACTAGTACACTACAATAGTCACTAGTACACAACAAGTCACTAGTACACAACAGTCACTAGTACACAATAGTCACAGTAGTATTTATAGTACTAGTAACAGTTGTAATATTTTTTACCAGGATAAATGAACTATGAGATATATAGTATCAAGCAGTTGAAATAAAGGTACAGGACGAACAATAAGAATTATTGTACATGAAAAATGACGAGAAAATATGAAATAACAAAGTACATAAATAGTAGTAAATAGTCTCAGTTAAGTAAAGGATTCCCCAAATTCACGTAAAACAAATGAGAGAAAACACGCAAAGAAAACAGCTCTCATAGAAAGTACTGTAACCCCATAGAAAGACTGATATTTAAAAAGACAAATACATAATGAATAAACAAATAAATATGTTTGGAAGCAATCTTCAAAAGTCATTAGAAACTGAAATGAGAAATACAGTAGATACAGAAGTTAAGACATATATAAGCATAGGAGTAAAGTATATTAAAGGAGTGGAAAAACACGGACACTGAAATAAACAAATACACATCAACAAAGACACAATGTAAACAAAAGGAAATTTATATTGGTTTGTCGTATACATAATCAGAACAGCCACACTAATCATGGTACAGTACTCGTATATCCAATCTTAGGATAGCCCAGACGAATCTGTTAATGGCTTACGTATTTACAAACAATGCTACACAAATTCAGCAAAAACAAACCAACGCAAAGAAATGCGTATATGAATGCGAGTTTAGCCACACTAAGCTCGAAAATCTACTAACACATTTTCTCAGTATATAAATTGCAGAAAAAAGAGGGTTCCACCTCACATGGGATGATGCCTTTTTACCTCTCAGCTATCATGCTCAGTGCGGTACTGTCATGATAAATACTGTATCCATCTATGTGTTTTGGGGCTATCTGAAAATTTTTGCCCGCGAGATCCCTCCCAAATAAAGATAAATTAATAAACAAATACCCCCCCCCCCCACACACTAAACCCATGGCAATACAGGAGCTGTCACGATAAATACATTTACTAAGTATTTGAACAACAGGTATTTCCGTTTTCGTGCAATGCTGCCTACAGTACATACTTACAGTATACTATATACGAACATGTTTATATGCTGCAGTTATTGCAGATGGCACAAAACTACGCACGGTCAGTTAATGATCCCATATAGTACTTCAAGGTAGTTTCAATTTGTTTCAATTTCATCTCTCTGTTACACATTTGTGTAGGTCTGTAATGCTATTGTAATTCAGAAGGGTTATGTTGATACTAATGTGCTAAATACAAACTTACAGTATATTCTCACTAATAATCGCGCACATACATAACATGCATAACATACACAAACAACAGTAGCACTTCACCACAAACTGTACCAATGACCCGAACACGCTACACAGGGACTGGCGTAGGGACACATTGGTTTTTAAATTGTTGGGAAGTTTCAAATTTAGGTTGGACAGATATATGAGTGATAAGGGTTTGGTGTAAATAGGACTATCTAGTACTTACGAGTCAATAGGCCTACTGCAATTTCCAACTTGACATCATTTTTGTTTTTATTAAGACAAAAACATTTAATAAAATCAACATACAAGTCATATTGATTCAGGATGAATAGTGCATAGACAAGTGCTGTGCAGGTAACAATGGTAATCAATGAGTAGGAAAAACAAAACAAACAAGTGCACTGTATATTTCCACCGTCCACTCAAGAGGAGCGTACATGTAGGTTACGGTCGATATACTGTATTACACTATATAATACAGTATAGGGCTCTTATGCTTTTTTCCTGCAGTGGTAACACAAAAATTGTGACACACAATTGCAGGGTCTCAATTGTTTCTCTTTCTTTGGCAACACAACACATGTATGTATATATCATTTATCACTCTTGATTTTTTTTATTTTTTTTACATCTGTATTTTTTTTGCCCCCCTGGCCCCGATGTGGGTAGATGACCTGTGGGTTAATCTCCGTAAAAAATAAAATGTTTTATATATATATATATATATATATATATATATATATATATATATATATATATATATATATATATATATATATATATATATATATATATATATATATATATATATATATATATATATATACAGTATATATATATATATATATATATATATATATATATATATATATATATATATATATATATATATATATATATATATATATATATATATATATATATATATATATATATATATATATATATATATATATATATATATATATATATATATATATATATATATATGAGTGTGTGCAGCGATCTGATTTAATACCTAATAAGTAATAACAGACTGAAAAAGGACCTAAACATTAATATAATCCGCATACATATGTATGTTTGTGTTAGTGATACTCAAGGTTTCCTCGTTCTATTGAATGAAGGAACATTTTATAAGGCAATTGGAAGTAGCCTTAGTCTGCTTGTAATTCAGGAGAAAGTCCTAATGCATAATAAGGTAGATAAGACTTCTTTGTTTATGAACATTTAAATTTGGTGTGTGGCGTCGTGGAGATGATGGCCACCAAGGTTGGTGGTGTGGCCGCCAGGTGCCCCTGGTGTAGGCGTGCCGCCCGCCATATTGTGTTTGCCACTTGTTGTCCTTACAGTCCGCGCGCTGTTTCGCCGTGTTTTGTGCAAGCTTTCTTCCTGTTTATAACAGCCAGCAATGATGAACGGGTGAGTAATATGTAGCTTATGGTGTGTAGACGGAACGGGCGTATTTTCGAAGTAAATTAATGGGTCAGACCTTGTTAAATGAATGTTTTCAGTGAAGATGAGTAATCCCGTCTGGTAGAGCGCGGGAACAACGGCCTCCCCTTGGTTACGGGGCGCATTTTACTAGCATGGCGTCATCAGCTGCCTTACACATGACCGTAACCACCTTTCTTTGCGATGTCCTCAAACTGACTTTTCTATCTCCCCTTCCAACATTTTGGAAAGGGAGAGTGTGAACCATGCTTAGTGGGAGGGGGTGAGGGTGTTGGCCTCAGCCCTGAAAACGGCAGCTATGGCGGACAGTTTGCCATGCTAAGAATGACGCAGAATTAGGGCTGTGAAGACGACCTCGTCTCCCTTGTGTAATGCTTTACGCCCAAGGTTAAACACCCAAGAATAGCACAAGTACCAAACGCTGGTGGGAGCCGCCTCTGTGACATGTCACCAGGTTCACCTACTCGAGTTAGTGTAGCCTCCGCCATATACAGTATACAGATACCTCGTATTTGTGGTATATCCATGATGCTTAGCAACCATTTTCCGGCAGGACGGAAACAGGTTGTGAAGTGTGTTGGCAGTAATGCTGCTGATACTGGAATGAAAGCACATGGCAGAGGTAGTAGTGCCACACCCAGGCAAGGTGTCATTGTTCTATTAGGCGAAGTATACTAGCTTTTCTTACTGGGATGGGAAATTCATTGCTGTGGGTAATTTGCTTTAGTATAGCTATCGTAGATGTATTAGTGAATCATGATTATTGTTTATGTCGTGATATGAGGAAGGGGGAGGTGGTGTGTACCTGATGAATGGCTTAGTAATATTATGTAATTACTCTTAGGTGGTAGATGGGATGAACTGGTTGATACAGGTGGAAGCTAGAGGCCTGTAGAAACAGTGCAGTACTGTGTTTAAGATTATTAATTGAAAGTGTACTGCAGACAATATTTTTAAAAAGTAAGGGCAATCTGGGACTTTTGTTTCAGAAGAAATAAGTGTATAACAAGTCTTGTTCTGTATAGTGCACTTGCATATAAAATTTTCTCCAAGCTTAAATCCTTCAATTTTAACTGGTTGATATGTTGGAAAAAGTTGTCAGTGGTTAGGATAATATCACCAGTTTAAGTTTTAGACTTGATGGGGGTGAGACCTTTCTATACTGGCACTTTCAATGTTAACCTTATTCAGATGTTGCAAAGAATGTGTTTCTCAGTAATAGGTAAATATGACTTGTGAAGTTTTAGGACATTGTAAGAGAACTCAATTTTAGTTATGACTTGGAAAATGAATTACAGTATAATTAGAAGGACCGTACAGGTACTTGGCTTCTTACCAGATGTAGTAGGTATTACGAATAGAAATACTGTCCAGTAGCTACAGTACTTGTATCATCAGAAATCAGAAGATAGTTTGGACTTAACTGCAAGGAAAATGTGATATTTTTTTAGGTAGTTTTAATGACTGTATTTTTGGTGTGTATTGTAAATGGCTCATGAATTGTTATGAATCATGACATTTATTACAGACCACACATTGACATTTTCCTACCAAATGATCTTCATCTTATTGCTTATTTCTGTCAAGTAATACATTATTATTACTGAAACATCCTAGAATTTGCTTACAGTAATTTATGTAAACCAGTACTGCTGTGCTGATTAGGTGAAGTTCATATGAAGTGTCATGGACAAGTGCTTGATAACTTTGTCACTGAAGGTATCACATTCCTAGGATATACTACACAATATGTGAAAAGCTGTTTTTTGATAAGGAACCATTCTAACATAACAGTTGTAGGTCATTATTTGGTCTGCAGAGGTTTATGTGTGCCCTGTTTCTTTAATATTTTAATAACGAAAATGACGAATCAAGCTGTAATGACTTTTCATTGAACATTTATTACTTTAAGGTGCTTAAAGTTAACCCTTTGGTGAGCAGAGGTTCCCCTCAGGCATTAGCTAGAATAAAATACATAAGGGATACTTTGCCCTCTAAAGGGTTAATAGAACCATTGATGAAAATGCAAAAAAAGAACTTTGAATATCTGAAGTGCCAATGCCAAGGCCTACTTACAGTCTCCTAAGACTGTAAGTAGGCCTTGGCACTTAAGAAATTTGAGAAAAATCTTACCTGGACTTTGGTGTTAAAAGGAGTGAAGTACTGGGCTGTAATTTATTCCTCCATACATCAGATAGCCTATGGTTTACAGGGTAACTTGTAGGTACAGTATTGGAGGATTTTGTTTATTTACGAAAGACGTAAAGGTTTGCAGGATACATCCTACATGCTGCTTCTAAGTAAATACTGGGTAAAGATTCGGAAAATGTCAACCTTAGAACTGTATATACAGGTATTGATTTGTAAACAGTGTATATGCAAAAGAAACCCCCACAAAATAATGAAGTTAAAACTAACATAACCTATTTCAGAAAACTTCAGAGTAATATGTATTTAAGAATAGTGGTTCAGGAGCCAAGTTAGGAAATATTTCAATAGAGGAAAGGTTCTTTAGTTTATCAAAAACATCCCAAAAATGGTGGAGGAAATAAATTTCTGCCAAATGAAAAGATCTTCAAGAACCTAATGACTCCGATATCAGTATACTGTACAAGTCTAACCTATCCTAACCAGGGAAACCAGGATGTGGCTAAACCACCTGTTGGGGGGGGGGGGGTGGTATGTGTGTAAACCTAACCTTAACCAAAATCTAAATTTGTCTAATATAAAACCATTGCTTCAAGTTTGCTCCTGGTTAGCTAATTTAAGTACCCTTGTTTTATCTTGTTTAACCTTGACTTTCATTTATACACCTCGTTCATATCGCCCTTCATTCTATGTCTCTCAAGGGAGTGCTAAATCAGGTGCTTTAATCTGTCTGTACTCAAGGTTCTTAATTCTCGGGATTAGTCTCGTCATCCTCCTCTAAATGCTTTCTAGGGATTCGATACCCATTCATCTTAATTCTTGGCCATGTTTGGTTTCTCCTCCATAACAGAACTTCATAAATGCATTATTGTAGTTATAGTGCAAAGGTGAACTACATAACAATATTGTACTACCAATAAATTCAATTCTAATTTTAGTAGAGGATGCTATTGGCAATAACCACCTGTGTATGGGATCCTCTCTATGCTTAAAAAAATCGTTTGGTTTTAACCAAATAAAATGTTAAAAATGGCATCCCCATAGTGTGTGCCTTCATGTTCTACATCTTTTACAGATAAGCTCGAGGACACATACTGTGTACACATACTTCTACAGGTTTTAATTTGGTCACCCATCAGCTTCAGTATTTAGGCAGGAGAACCACAGGCTGTGGGGAGCTACAGTACGGTATGTGAGAGATGCTTGTGTGTACACATTCAAATTGACTGGATATCCTTCCCTAAATATGTCTAAATTTTGAGGCTCTATGAATTAAAAACAAAGGCGTGTAAACCTGAAAATTACACATCGGGAGGACCTCCGTAGCTCACACTTGTGTTATATGACGGTCATGTAGTTTAATTTTTTTAAGTGTGTAAGGGTTTAAAGAAACTACAGTACTGTATATGGATTAGCATTTCATATGTGTTCTTAATCTTTTCTTCAGTTCCCAATTTGACCATTGTCATAGCTCTATTTGATCTTTGATAGTAGACTGTTACACCAATTGATTCTGAAGTGTTAAAGGAAATTTTTCCATTTAAATATAAATTTAATTACAATATTATCACACACACACACACACACACACACACACACACACACACACACACACACACACACACACACACAAGTAAATTTAACAAATTAATCAGGGGAATATCAACATTAGCTGACACCAAACATGAAGTCAAACACACAGCCAACGAGTTGTCAGAAGTGGTATAGGGAGACAAGAGGTTGACCGGAGTAGTGAAGCTGCCTCTCCCCGAGCAGCATACACAAGGGATGGGATTAGTAGACTGAAGTCGCCCCTGAACTGGGGTACGGTAAACTGTGGTCTGCTGGCCTCCGCAAGTCCCCACGACCGGGCAGGTCAGGTCATACATGTAGTCGCCCTGGATGACAAGGACTGACAAACACTGATGAGGACGCTTCTCACACCTGGTCCTCGACGTGGGTAGAGTACAGTACAGTACTCCTAAACAACGTAAAGTAATCGTAAAGTAATAAACCTATTATCAAACTTAAAGTACTAACAACACTGAATTGAACATTAAATCATAATAGAAACATATCAACAATCAACATAGCTGAAATGAATCACAAAAGAACATAACATACAAATCAATAATATAAGTACTGTAGAGGGTTCTTTTACCGATGTATGCTGGCTGAGGGAAGGAAGTCTTGTGACCAACCCACTTACCTTTCAGCGCGCACATCACCCGTTCTGGATTCGTAACACCACGAACACTTTAAATGAATCACTGAGATGCTGACATTCTTGAATCTGTACGAGGCTCATTGGTGCTCCAAATGAAACGAATCCTGGTGAATGAGTAACCCAACACTTTGACTAGCCCTAATCAAATTACCTAAACCACACCATCACCAGTTTCCCTCACAACCATTAACATTACCAAATCATTAGTCCCCCCCCCCCCCTCACATACCGTAGATATGATAACTAAATCAAGATAGAACTTATCCTTATTACTGATGGATTTACATTTGACTGGGTAACTATAATGAATGATAAAAAATTTAAGTAGTCAAAACTGAAAAATTGCTTTGCCATCAGCCTGAAGAGGAAAGAAGTCTGCAATAAAATATTACTGAATATACTGTACCTGTATATTGAGATAATATGGTGTGGTAGCCTGCCATTTCAAGATGAGTACATATCAGAGTTTTGAGCCCTAATACTGTACCAGGTTGACAATCCCTTATCCAAAATCCTTGGGGCCAGAGGCATTTTGGATTTGGGAAGTTTTCGGTTTTCAGATTTATTTTTTATTTTTATAGATGTGTATTAGCCCACCCGGGCACAAGTCACTGACCCACATTGGGGCCTGGGGGGCGAAAATATAATAATAATTATAATAATAATTCATAGGTCTAGGTCGTGTTCCTCACTTTTTATCTTTTTTCATGCTTGTATTTCTTTATTATTATTATTATTAGATTATATTATTAATGCAGTATTATTGTTATTATTATTATTATAAATTTTATTATTATATTTTATTATTATTATTGTTCTCATTATTATTTTATTTTGGTGTATTTTTTAATTAAAATTTTTATTTACTATGAATAATTATTATTATTATAATTATTATAATTATTATTACTATTACATTTTCGCCCCCCAGGCCCCGATGTGGGTCAGTGATCTATGCCTGGGTGGGCTAATCCCTGTTTAAAATATTTCGGATAAAGGGTTGTCAACCCTGTACTGTATTGTACTGATATTTTCATGGTTCAGTAAAATTTCTAGATTTGCTTGTTTGCCACTACAGCAGTAGTTCAATTAAAGGAGCTGTAGCAGCGAGAGAGCATCATAGGTCTGCTTCTTACTTATTGTGAGCCTTTGATATTTTTTCTGGAAAGGATGAGAAACCTGTTTTGCACAAGTGGTGTAGAAAAGGATAACCACTTGCTGATTCACTCACTTTTGGTTAGACAGGCATTTTGGCCCTGGAAGCAGGAATATGGAGAATTTGAAATGTATCCTTGGCTGAGGAATCATGCAATTCCAAGAATTCATCTTTGCTATCATCTGGGATACTGTCATTCAAACACTTGAATTGAACTCTTCTCAGGGCCATGCATGCATCTTCCATTTTAATATATGGAAAATATATACAGTACAATATTGAGCTCTGTTTCAAGGTTTTGAAGTGATCAGTAGTCTCTTGGAGCTTGTTATACCACCAGGGAGAATTGGTTGAAAGAAATTGAATTGCCTTCACGGATTTTTCTTCCCAAAACGCTTATTTTCGCGGTGAATGCCTTCATGCCATCTACTGTACATCAATAATAATGTTCATTCCTCTGCTCTGTAGTATTTGGTTCAACTCACTGAGGGTTTAAATGTTTCAATCAAGTAGGCCAATTGAGATTCAAACTCCTGGCTTACTGAAGATGAAAAGTAGATCAGTGTTTTCATTTAGAAATGCCTTCACCTCTTTGCCGAGCTCTGAAATCCAATTGAACACATGTGGAACAGGAGGTCCTGATGGGCAGAGTTTTAATAATAGTTTTTTTTGTAAGATGACTCATTGTTGGTACAGTTTCGATATCAAGTCTGATTACAAGCAGCATCTCGTAAGTAGGGGTGATTAAGCTTTTGGCTTCTCATTAAAGAATTTTTTTTGTAGTTAGCTTTTTTGTATGCCCCCCCTCCACCCCTCCTCCACCCCCCACACCCCCTCCCCACACCCCTCCCCACACCCCCTCCCCACACACCCCCCCACACACCCCCTCCCCACACACCCCCCACACCCCTCCCCACACACCCCCCCCCACACACCCCCCACACACCCCCTCCCCCACACACCCCCTCCCCCCACACACCCCTCCCCCACACACCCCCCACACACCCTCCCCACACCCCCCCACACCCTACACCCCACCCCCACACCCCACACTTCAGGCCCCCCAGGCCAAAGAGCATAAAACACTGAAAAAAAATTCTTCAGTTGATATTTTCTTGGTCCTGTTGTTGAGGGGGAGGAGTTTGAAGTCTGACTTACTCGGCATGCCTACAGTGACAGTTGTTATAACCAGGTTTTTACTCTCTTGTTCCATCTTGGATTTGTTTTTCTTCTAATGTATTACAGGTATTGAGTTCACATAGATACCGTACTGATTTAGCTGCTTCTGACCCTTCCTCGGGTGCCAGAAACTCTTGGTTTTTTAGTAGATACAGTGACCCCTCGGTTAACGAACTCAATCCGTTCCAGAAGGTCGTTCGTTAACCGAAACCATTGTTTCAATGGGTTTTTGGGTAATTGGTTCCAGCTCACCGAAAATTTCCTAAATTCAACAAAAATGGTAGAAAAGTTCACTTACTTTGAGGTGTGTATGTAGAAGGCTCCTGGATGATGATGATGGGATTTAGAATGGGGGTGGAGGAGAAGGAAGAAGAGAAGACATTGGGGTGGAAGAGAAGTCGCCCCATGGCGCCATTTCACCCATGAATTTTAGCTCTCTTGGTGTAATTCAAGATTATTTTCTTTAAATCAACACTGCACTGCATTATATATTGTCAATATGTAAAATATATTTCAAAATGACCAATAATTTGCTTGGAAACAGAAAAAAGCGTTTAGTTGAAGAGAGTCTCAAGCAAGATGTTACCTCCAGTGAAAACAGAGAGAGACTAACGCCTGTTTGCTGTGTTAAGAGGGTGGATGCCGCGCATTAAACTAGTCACTTTACCTTCAATTATGTTCAATAATTGTTAAAATGACTAAAAAATTGAATATTAAACTTTTAAAATTATTGAATAGTATAAACTTCTTGATATTTACTAAAATAGTAAGGAATTTAAGCCCTAGAACCGATTAATGTATTGGATGACTGATAATAAAGCTGGTTGCCCGGTCAGTGCAAGCGAAAACATGTTGAGGTCGGTTCGTAAGAAATTCGTTAACCGAATTTTTGTTCAGTAACCGAATTGAAAATCCTTATGGAAGGCAGTTCGTTACCCGAAATTCCGTTAAATGAGGGGTCACTGTAGTCTCTTGTCAATCAGCTTCAGGTGCTCGGTGTTCATTCGTGTTATTAAAGATCTTTTCAGGATTTTCTTTCTTTTTTTTTTAGATGTTTCATTTCCTGAAGTCTGGTTCACTAAGAGTATTGCCACAAAAAAAAGTCCCTTTGGGATTCATCAAATTGATGTGGATATCTAAAGAATCATTTTTGAGTGTCATGGTTTTTGGGGTGGATCGTTGATAGTAGGAGTGGATTATATTATATAAAGATAATATGTCGTATTTCTTATTTCTTACCGTAGAGTCCGATACCTTCACACTGATTACTTACAGGAGATTATGGCGTATCTACGTAGAAGTTCACTCCACCACTCGACATTCCATGATTTATACTTGATAAATGATGATTTAATGAATTCATTTAATTTTCAACATCCATCTAAGTTATTGGTTATACTATGTCATAACCAATCAGTCATTACCTTTAGTAATAATAAGATAGGATCACAGATACGGGCAGATAATTGCACTTACATTTATTTGTCAAGCTTCCATACAATGATTTACAATTTGCATGGATATATGATTTACTCACGTTCACGCTGTAATAAAATTAATCTTCTAAAACAGGGAATTTTCAACTTGGGGACACATGTGGTTACTCTACTATGGGTGTGACTTAACAGAGCCTTAATTCTTCAAGTGATACATTTACTGCCAGCCTGGATTGCTTTTGTTGCAACCAGGCTTCATCACAAGAACTTCTTCCCACGGCCATAACAACAAAAAGGTACTCTTGGGTTACCACACATAGTCTCGCGTCACTGACAGTCACTGTGGACGGTTGTCGCGGCAAGTAGAACTGGTAAGCGTGACTTGAATTAACCATTAGGTGCAATAGACCAGCCTGGATTGCTTTTGTCGCAACCAGGCTTCCACACGTGATATTTCCACGGGGATAACAAACCTAGGTTAACACACTTAGTCTCGTGTCGATCACGGTCACGGTAGACGGGTGTCGTGCAGGAGAACTTTGTAAGCGTGAATTAATTAACCATTTACTGTAGGTTTGATAGGCCAGCCTGGATTGCTCTTGTCGCAACCAGGCATCCAATCGTGATATTTCCACGGGGATAACAAACCTATGGTTAACACGCTTAGTCTCGTGTCGACGACGGTTCACAGGACGGAGTGCGGTGGGAGGACTCTGTGTGGTGTGGTGTCCCGCTCCCCTTCAGGAGGGAGAGAATGGAGACGACGTCTTAACTAACCCATGGCTCAGGGGATACTACTTAAAATGAGGTTTTTGGGTGTGAAGCGATGAACAGTACAACACTGTTTCACTGCCCACCCCCCTAAAGGCTGGCTGACATACACTAATTGAAAAATACATGTCCCAGTTATGCCTCGCCGGGCGTCTTATCTCTGGTAAAACAAACTTTGGAGTTGGTTGCGTGGGTAAGCCTAACGCAACCCATGACATTGAGCTTAGATTTTTGTTGTTGATTTATAAAAGTTACTCTGAAAAAATCAGCCCATGTATCCCAGTGATTCATGACTGAATGCATTCCCTTAATGCTGTACACTGTTTAAGGGTAAATTAAGTTTGTCATAATGTATTTTTCTACTTTGCAAAGATTTTCAGGAATTCAACTCTTATAGTACTTGTAATTAATGACTACTTTACCTGTATATGGAGTACCTGTTGAGGTGCTTGCCAAGCATGTACAGAGACTGGGAGATGTAGGTTTCCCCTTCCACTCCCTAATTGTGGGAGCTTGAAATGTATTATTGTACAATTTTGATCAGTACTTTTTATTTTTTCCTGAACTTTTTGGTGTGACTGCATAAAACTTGGCAGTCTCAAAAATATAATTACTGTATTGTCTATTTTATTGTTAAGCTCGACTGTAAAAGATTGAAGAGGCAATCTGTCATTTTGTGCCATCATGGAGCACTCAGTATAGTACCTGCACAGTTTCACTTCTCCATACAGTTGCTAAAGTACAAGTTATTTTAAAGATGCTAAAATTGAAAGGATATAAAACAACAGTACAGTATATTATCCCTCAACGCTTAATTTTTCTTCTGAACTGTGTCTGATGCTGTACTTGTTCAAAGACAGTGAGTCATTTTGAAGCAATACATATGACATAAAAGGTATGCCCTGTTAACATGATAAACTTTTATGCAATCTAATTTGTAAATTGTTTCTTTTCAGCGATAACGACGACGTTGGGTATGTATTCAAAGCGAGATGGATGATCATCAGAGTGGTAATTCTGGATTTTTTTTTATGTGCTTGTTTTACATTTAAAGGATTGCTCTAATCTTTTGTTGGTAATGTGCAAAGTTTGTTGGATTTGTTAAGAGAAAATCTTCAAATTAGTTTTATAGTTAACGAAGGCATGTACAGTCACGGAAAAAAGTTTTGTCCTACATCCCATTCATGAACCAGCGACTCTGAGATGTCACGCAGTGTGCCATATATGGGCCCAACAATGTGCGATGTCTCGGATTCACTGGTTCATCATTCTCAGGGTTCATGGTTGGGAACGAGGACTGATGACTTTTTTCTGTGGCTCTGCCTTGTATACCGGTAGTACTGTAGTATTGTTTTCACATTTAGTTGCAGTATTCACTCGTGATGGCCTAAGGAACACTTAAATATTATTTGTTTGTGGACAACATGGTATTGAATATTAACAACTTTGGAAGTGTAATCTCTCTCAGCTGTTAAATAGCAAAGATCACAAACTTGTTGTCAGACTTGCTTCCATTGACAAAGTATTCCATACTCTGGATTTTTGGATTGTCATAGATGTTATATGGCATCTAAGGATGTGGCTGTTTTGTTTTTTAATAATAAAAACTTAATGAAATAGTAAATTTTCATGTAGAACATAAGTTCTATGACTCAATTGTTTAATGGAAGTAAAAGGTAGGCATAGCATGTCAGCCAGTTACTACAATCACTGGTGTAGAATTAAGTGCACTAATTAAAAAAATCTTAGTCTTATAGCTAGCAAGTTATAGCTAGCAAGTTAGCTTTTTTAATATTAAGCAATGCAGGACCAGGAACCAGATTTCCCAACCCTGTTTAGAGCAAAGTCAGTTCCTCTTTTATGTTAATGAAGTTTTGCTTACTGCATAAAATATAATGTAGGCAAAAGCATATGCACTGCAATTTTGTTAACAAGCATTTTCAACGTGAAAAATGGATTCATTATTGCTGAACAGATATTAAAACACGTGATAGTTACTGCACCAAAAAGTGATCTTAATTAGCTAGCTACTACTGTCTGTACCCCATAAAATGCTGCAATAAGACAAGTGTACTGTATGATATATTGTGGAAGGGTTTCAAAACTAAAATTCGTCTCACACTGTACTGTATTTGAGTTAAAATGTTTTATCATCTAAGGTCAGTGGCTCAACCTTTTATCAGTGTAGCCGTCCCCATCGACATCATATATTGTTCTACTTTTTTATAGAAATGGAAAACGAAATACAAAGAAATCATAATGGACGACATACAGTTTTACTGGACATATGCTTTCTCGACAGCAAAAACACATTTTCATAAATGATTATGCCAGATTTGAAAGTCATCATAGGTGAAATGGGAGAACAGTGAACATGCAGTAAATAGTAAAAGAGGACAGGAAGAGAATGAGTTTTTACAAATTCACCACATGTAAGGACTTTTCTCACTATAAAACTAGATACAGTACTACTAACACAAAAATTTCAATACAGGTTATCCCTTATCCAAAATTCCCAAGTCCAAAATGCTCTGAAATTCGAAAGTCGATATCATTGTATCGTAATTTTTACAAGATTAAGTATGTATGTGTAATGAATAAAGGGAAGACACAGGCTGCCTAATGTCTCAGAGTCAGGTGTCATGGCGATGCCAAACAGACAGTAGTGATTGCTTACCTTTCTCGGTCTTTAGTGTACATCTTATTGTATAATTTATACGCAAAATTATTAAATTATATTTCATAAAACTACCTGCAGAATATATATCCATATGCTGTAAATGAAATGTAAATGAATTTTGTGCATAAACTTGGGCCCCATCCCTGCTAGGTAAGTTACTGCATATACAGGTTCTGTATACGTACATGATATAGATACGCTATTCCAAAATCCGAAAATACCTCAAATCCGAGACCCTTAAGGCCCCAAGCATTTCGGATAAAGGATACCCAACCTGTACTGTACATGTAATTTAAATGGTGAATTCAACACAAAGAACTTGAAGTTTTTTATGGGAACAACTTGCTGGGTCTTACCTTTGGTTGACTACCAATTAAGTTATCTAGATATTATCTCTGTGGTAACAGGCCTATTTGAATATATTACCAAACCTTTGACATTACAATGTGGTTGTGGTGCTGCAGAAGTTAACATTGCATCATGGTGCTGAAGATGTTTACATGTCTACCTCTGCCAGCCACCTGGTAGCTTTCAACAACTGTGCCACCACGTCATGGATCAGTGATGTGCAGTACTGTACAGTATATGTCATTAAACAGGCAAACTCATATTTGAGGATCATTCAGCCTACATATTTTTTTTAATTATACAATGAATATTAACATAGGCATATCATGGATGCAACAGCATTCCTGAGAATTGGAAGAAATCTTAATACCTATATTGTACAGTAGTAGTAGGGTGGTCCAAATTATAGGGTGAAAATTTCAAAGTTGTCTGAACCAAGCAAGCACATTGTGCCCTCGTTGCATTTCATTTACACTAGCTTTGTATAAAATTTGAAGAAAATTGGATTACTGTATGTTTAGGGGTCCCACAAAACGTTTAGTTATTTTAGTCTCATCCATCTCCAAGGATGAGACCCAGAAGCAGTACCTCCTTAAAGTTGTAGCTGAGCACAGAAAGGACGTGCCCTCCATGTCAAAAGCTGTCTTCCTGAAATAAACTTAGAATCTACAGCCTTTCCTTTTCCGTGAGCTTATTTGAGGTGATTGTGTTAATTTTTTTTGATGACCGGGAAGTTGAAGTTTTGCGGGACCCCTTAATATTGAGATAAGGAACAAGGAACTGAAATTTTGCCTGAAGACATATTTGGGGTAAAGGTATTAGGCCGATGTGTCAAAATTAAAATTCCAACTTCAAATTTTTTGGACCTCCCTACTGTACAGTACAGTACACAGTACAGTACAGTACCTATAGTATACAGAAAATATATGAGGCCCCCCGCATCGTAAGGGTAACTCAGACCACCCCGTGCGAAACCTGGTTTTTTGTTGGAAAGCACTATTTTTGGCCTAGCTCTATACGATGGTAGTGGATAAGATTTTACTAAACTGTAAATAAGGTTGAAAGCCCTTTGAAAATAGGGTGTAACATCGATTTGTGGCAAACAGGAAAGTACAGTATGGGCTAGACTTTTGCATCGTCAGGTGCTCTCTTCCCGTCAGTGAGTGAATGAGGAGCGGGCGGCCTGCAGCCTCCTCCCCTTCTCAGCCAATGACTGAACGTTTGCTATCTACGTCACGGCCCCTCCAGCCAATGAGCGAAGAATTCCCCCTCTCCGTCAGATCTCTTTTGTTGTGGCAGGATCTACACTGATATGGGTTAAAGTAAAAAAAAAGCCTTAAGTGGGTGGGAGTTTTGTTGCTTCAAGTCAACATTGCAACAACCCAGTGCATTCATGATGCACTACCTACCATCTGCAAGTATTGTAGAGTCTTTAGCTTAAAGCTGTGATAACGAACAAGTTTATACAGTACAGGTATAATGTAACGTAGCAATCCCTATGTAAATAGATTTGTGATCCCAAAGTTGGATGACACAAGATAAATTACTATAGAGGAAAGAACTGAAAACTGTACTGTATTAAAATATATATATATATATATATATATATATATATATATATATATATATATATATATATATATATATATATATATATATATATATATATATATATATATATATATATATATATATATATATATATATATATATATATATATATATATATATATATATATATATATATATATATATATATATATATATATATATATATATATATATATATATATATATACACATAACACACCCGACTTACGACGGGGTTAGGGACCCAAATCCAGGTCGTAAGTCCGACATAGATAAATTTTTTTTTAAATAAATAATCTACAATGAAATACAGTACAGTAAAAGTAATGAATAATGAGGAATGGATACAGTACAGTGAAAGTAATAAATAATAAGGAATGGTTACAGTGTGACAGCACTTAACCTTTAATGTAGTCAGCTGAATGCACATGGGGCCCCCATAATTTTCTAATTATACATGGAGACTACATTAACTGGAAACGTTTCTGTATAGAAAATGCGTGTCATTTGAAAAAAAAAAAAATTTTTTAATAAAAAATCTGCGGCGGTCGTAAGTCGGGGTCTGTCTGTATATGCTTGTTAGAAGTTGGAAAAACTTTTAAACGCGGTTTTCTCGGCTTTCAAATTTTGGCGCAAATTACCCTTATGATGCGGGGGACCTCATATACAGGTTGTATATACTGTGTACAGTAGTATGCAGGTCTTTCGTAGTCTTACAAGGCCTGCATTACATGTTATGGATCTTCACATCGACTTTTTCATTTTGTCTTCATTATTCCACACTTTAAAATGAATGCCCAAGGGTTCTGGGACTAGAGGGGGGAGGAACACTCCAATGGGCGAACGCGTTCACCCCCAAATTTGGTACTGCCAAGTGTCTGCGGCGTATAAAATACACGATCTCATAGTGCCTTTCAGGATATTGTGCGATAACATCAGATTATTTAATAAAATAAATTAATATACGTACTGTATATTCAGTAGGTTATTGATATCCAACTTTAGATATCTAGGGATAATATTTCAAAGCAACACATTGATTACTTTGCTGTAAAGGATAATTACATATTTGCCTATTTGGGGAAATATTCTAACTTATGTTCTTCAATATGTGTGATGGTGCTAGCTACAGCCAAACACCAGATTTATGCCATTTAATATGACTGTCCCCCCCCCCTCCCCCCACACCAGAAAAAAGGTTAAATAATACACTTTATTGTAGTTTTTTAAACAGGCTACTATTTTAGTACAATAATGATATAAAGAACATCGCACTATTTACAAGTTGGTAATAGAATTGGCAGTGACTTATTGAGCCCCCCCCCCCCTTTTTTTTTTAAATACAGTACAGCTCCA